ATGACAAGGAGGGTAGGGGGTTAGAAAGGATTATTATGGTGTGCTATGGTTCCCCTGATCACAGTGGTTCAGTAGATAGGTGAGTTAGTAACTTCTTGCTGGACCGAATGCCCGAGTCAATTTTGCAAGTTCATTAACAGTGCAAAGCGTTCCTATCGTCTTAACTCGGAGTCCCGGTGTTGCTTGCAGGAACTGCTGCTCGCTGCCTCCAGCCTGCTCCAGACTGAATGTTAATGAGTAACACAGCGCCTTCCCAATGGGGTTGGAAGCAATATAGTTAAGTAAGAAAGCAATGGTTCGGATAAAAGGCCTTAAATCAGACTTCAGTAACGCTGCAAATGTCACTTGAAAGAGAAGGATTCAGGAGACGGGAGGAGGCATCCGAGAAAGCAATTTAAGGACAATTCAGAAATAAATGAGAGCTCCTTTCCATAAGGCAAAGCAATCTTAACAAATGAGAGACTGTACCTGCCGATATTTTGGCTTTAACTGCAGGGAAGAGTTTTAGGTTACAAGGGATTAGAACTTCAATTACAACTAAACCATATTCTGATCTCTCACGCTCTTTTGTAAGTGATGTAATCTGCTATTTCAGTACAAATATTAATGTTGCCCTTTAAGTACCTGTGTTCTGCTGTTATCGCTGAAGATCAGTTAAATTTTTTTATAGAATATGGCTTGTGAATATGATTAGAATTCATGCCATTTACAAATACGCACATTTTTTTAAAATGGCATATAGGGTCCATGCACACAGCAGCATGCGCATTGAGTGCAGGTAAATACATGCGTATGAACATGTGTAGGGTAGCACAGTGGATAAATGGTTAGCACTTCCGCCTGGTAGTACTTGGGTTGTTGGTTCAAATCCCAACCATGGCACCCCTGCCTGCCGTTTGCATGTTCTGCTTATGCCTTTGTGGGTTTCCTTCCACACTCCAAAGACATGCTGGTAGGTAAATTGGCCCTAGTGTGTGTATGTATGAATGTACATTAGGGATCTTAGATTGTACACCCCTTGAGGGTTAGGGACTGATGTGAATGTACAATATATATGTAAAGCACTGCATAAACTGATGGCACTATATAAGTACCTGAAATAAATAAATAAATAAAATGTGTAGGCATTGCAGTGCACCATGTTTTACAATGCACTTTGCTCCTCACTTCCTGGAAGACATAAAGGGGTTGATTTACTAATACTGGAGAGTGCAAAATCTGGTGCAGCTGTGCATGGTAGCCAATCAGCTTCTAACTTCAGCTTTGACAAAAAAAATCTAGAAGCTGATTGGTTTCTTATCAGAGCGGCTCCGGATTTTTCAGCTCTTCATTTTTTTTTTGTAAAACAATCCTAAAGGGCATACGGTATGGCAACATAATCAACTTATGATGGGTAGCTGTGTTTTTTTGTGCGTTGATGTGTGTTACATTGGGCTAACGTGTTACCGTGTGATGTTTCACTGCCCTGAAAAAGGTAGATTGCTCACTTTTTTACCACTGCAAACAAGAGCATATCAGCTCACTGCACCAGTGTGACCTTCTGCCATTCAAGTTTGACAAGTCCTTGGCAGGGGTGGACTGACAACTCATGGGGCCCCCCGGGCAATAGGGGATCATGGGGCCCCTGTGTCCTCGCCCACACTCAAACCACACCCAAAAAAGCCTATGAAAGGTACCAGGGGCATCTCATGGGGCCCCCTACTGACCCTGGGCCCTCGGGCACTGCCCGAGTTCCCAAATGGTCAGTCCACCCCAGGTCATTGGTATACATTGAAAAAAAGTGCCCCAATCCATCTGGTGAGAATGGACTCTCTGGACCATTTCATATCAATCATCAAATAATTATTTTCTGTTGTTTTTTTTTTTTTTCACTCAGTCCTAACATGTTAATGTTTTTGCTAAATATTTTAATATTTAAAATCTGCAGCTTTGAATAATATAATACCTGATGATGATGCTATAAAAATCCTTGATCAGGCACGTCCTGTTATAGGGGGATATTTATCTGTCTATGTCTCCCAATTGTGCTCTTGCCTTCCCACCGTGTCACTACAAGTAGACATTCCACCACACTTTGCACAGGCATGGTTCACTGTTACTTTAGGAAATCCTCTATGAGAAATGCCTTGCAGACATTGCTGGAGTCCATGCCTGCAGACAGGAAGTGGCTGAAAACTGGACTGTAAAACAGAAGATATCTTTTAGGATAATCACATGATATCTTTTAGGACAATCACATGTCACCTTTTCTCCAATAAGGGGTGTTCCACAATGATGCAAAGAGTGGTGTAATGATACCAGTGCTACTCTCGGCATCATTGTATGTGACTGTAGGGCACTGTAATGAAGCTGCTACACAAGGCAAAGGCATGCAAAGTGATGATCTCATCATTCATATGGGGGGGGGGGGGGCTCATTCTCCAAAAACACAGCAAAGCATTCTTAGTTTGATCGTTTTGTGTGGTATGTAAAACTTGTAAAGTTGGTTTTCCAATTCTTGGATTAGAAATAATATGCACAAAAAGTGTAACTATTGACAATTGTTGATGTAGAGCTGTATCCCTTCCCTGATAAAGAATCTACATTAAAGTATTCAAAACATGTGTTGGATATAGGCTGAGTGCACTTGTAGTTCCCTCAAATGAGGTCGCAAGATGAATATCAGCTTCAAGAGATATCGCTAATTTTTCTATGCAATAATTACTAATATTGAATTGTTATACTCTATGGGGGAAATGTGTACTGATGTGTCAAATAAAATGTCAAATTTTCTTTAAAAAATTGTTGGATTTATATATTTTAAGGTTGCCTTAAAAATTCCACCAAGTGTAAGGTATAAATCTCTTTGTCAAGGCGAACACATGATCCCCTGCACTCAATGGATGCCCTCAGTCTTCTATTCATTTAACCTGAAAACCTACGCACTTTCAGTGGCAGAAAGAAATGACTGTAGGGACAGTGCTGGAGAGATGGTGGGTATTTATTTGTTGTTTTAGGCCCCTGCTAGGTGACTAGTGAAAGAAAGAAAGATTGCCAAGAGTTTGGCTGAATAATTACACTATGTCATTGTGAGCTTCCTTTATAATTAATACATATAAAACATGGAATAGAAATCTTGTAAAAATGTAGCCATAGCAATACTTTAAGGCAAACAATGCATTACCTGTATGTACCCATTTTGCCACAATGATACCAGTCCTTATGCCTGGGTTGCCAGGCTGGTACCTTAAGGGAGAACTTTTTGTGTATAAATAAAAACAAGAAAGCCAGGTTGGTCACAGACACAGATTTAGATACATAGCACATCTGTGTCATCCACTATCTGCCCTCCCCCAAGTTTCCTTCTTTTCAGTTCTCATTTTTTAAAGTTATGTAGAATGCCAAGGTAGAAGATTTCACCAGCAGGTGGTGCTGAAGTGCATAGAACTGTCCTCTGTTGGGTAACATCAGTATGCAATATAGTCTATAAAAAAGTACAAATTATACTTTGTTATACTGCAGTTGCCACAACCAATCACATAGCATTTATGGGCTGTGACATGGAAAGATGGTATAAGTTGAAGCTTGAATGTTTTTAGCAAGTGGCCTTTTCTCTTAGGCAGGGAACATGCTGAGAAACAGAAGGACTGTTTCTTTCGTCTGGTAAGAGATCTTTGATTCTTTTTTTGAATGTAAAGAAAAACAATAAAGTGTTTAAAAAACCTTCACTCTCTTAACTACTCTCTCCAATAGAATGGAAGGAGTTCCAACAAGCCTTTACAGAAACTCGGTAATCGAAGCTGTAAGTCTATAAAGTTGAAACTACGGTATATTACCGGTAATTAATATACCGCTTTCATATTGTTGCTACAGAAGAAGGCAAAATAAATGTGCCACCGAGCCTGCTCACAGGCTCCTAGGAGAAAATATCTTCTGACTGTTAAATTCTTTCCTTGGACCAAATCCACTTAAGAAACATGCCAATTATTGTTTAAGAGGCCATTTAGAGTTTGAATGGTGTACCATACATATTCAAAACTGATGCTACGCTGTTGGTCACCATCTCAGGCCACCTTGCGAAAAAAATTATTTGGCCCTGTCTAACAGTATGGGTTGAAAACAGACGGTTTTGTTTGCACACATTTGCAAATATCCTCTGTTTTTAACTCATACTGTTAGACGGGGCCAGAATCTTTTTTTCGCAAGCTCGCTGGTAAGTGTTGCTGGGAAATCTTTTGTTTGTCTTGTGATGTGCATTGCCCTCCCATGTGCACCTTACTGTTAAGGCTGATAATAAGTTGGGACAGTTGCCATTTTTTATGTAGTTGAATAAATTGGACGCAGGGATGTAAAATTAAACTTTACCAAAAAAAGGGTTTCCCCTTCCTGCCACAGCATAATGCATCCACATGTGATTGCAAAACAAAAATAAAGTTTGCCAAAAAAAAGGGTTTCCCCTTCCTGTCACAGCATAATGCATCCACATGTGATTGCAAAACAAAAATAAAGTTTGCCAAAAAAAAGGGTTTCCCCTTCCTGTCACAGCATTGCATCCAAAGCAAAGCAAAAATAAAGTTTAACAAAAAAAGAGTTTCCCCTTCCTGCCACCATCCTGCCACCGCCTTGTTTTCCTATGCTGCACTCATGAAGGAAGTGATGTCACGGAAATAAGCATACAACACACTTCATGCAGCTCAACACAGCACATCAAAAATACACTCAAAGTAAACACATTGGAAATGCACATCAATGCATTACAACAGTGCACTTTAAGGTGTTTCAGTCCAGATGCTGAAATGCTACCACAGTGGTGTGAACGGGCCCCTAAAATTCAGGTTTCCCTTAACACTGTAGGACAGCCCTTCTGAACCCTTTTACCCTGGAGGAACCCAAATATAAAACAATTTTAAAGTGTTACTAATCCCACAACAGTAAAAATCAGTCTGTATATGCAGTAAAGTATGCTTGTTATACTCACTGTGGAACCTAAGGGGTTAATCCTCTGCATTGTGTAAAAATGCTGTTTGATCCTGACTTCTCTGATCCTCCACTTCTTCCAGTGTCTCCCTCTTATCACCTGATAAGACATACTGCATGGAGTCACTCTGCACATGTTCAGTTTGGTGTGTATTGCTAGAGAGGTTTTTTTTTCTTGGCCAAGTGCATGTGATCAGCAAAGAGCCAATCTGCACTGTCCAGACAGAGATCAGGGGTTTTGCATCCTCCTAGAGCAGAATAGAAAACTACTATAAGCTTTAACCAGTGCTTAGTTGGACACTGATAGAAGTCCCAAGACTGCTCTCACTGCTGATGAAAAAAGGTATTTAGCAGTTTATATTTACTACAGTAATTGCATTTCCATGTTATGGTTACTGTGATAGACCAGATATAATGAATGCAGAGTACTGAGTTTAGTAACACTTTAAGGTCTCAAGGAAACCCTGCTAAAAATGATTATGTTTGCAGCTTATGGTATTTTAGAGTCAAAATGTTGTAGAGCATTTTAAATTAAAGTCTACATAATGTGGCTTAGCTCATTATTAGACCACCAGGGTAGATATTTTTTACAACCTCCAACTGTATTCAAGAAATTAATTTTCAATAATTATATTGCAATGAATAATAGCACAATAAAACTCAGACAGTAAACATAATGGTGTTGCCCAACATTAGCTGTCAGTATAGAAGTACATTGGTGGTCATTGTAGGCTGGAGATCAATTTGTCATTGGTCACTGTGAAACTGACATTTCTGGGAGTGTTTATCTCCTGGGACCTCCACAGGTCCCATTCCTCCTGCTGACCTCCACATTATTACTGTCTTTTGTAATGACTTGGAGGACAGCAGAAATAATCAGTTACAGCTGCAGGGGAACAAGGAGTTCGACACTACAGTGTGGATTTTGGTAGATGATTTTTCAGCAATGGAGTGGGGTTTGGTGGCACAGGCAGTAGGATAGCTGCTGTGTATGTACTGTTTTCTATTGCTGACTCGCCTTTCTTGAGTTATTTTTGGTTAGGGCAGGGTCCCTTTAAAGAACTTATATATTAGCACTTTTTCAATCAGGGTGCCCAGGCACACTGGAGTGTCTTGTTTGTTCTTCAGAGGTGCTTTGGCAAACTGCCTAAATATTGCCCCAAATTGCTCCAAAATTGTCAAGACGCCAGCAAGAAGATCAAGCCTGTGTTTTTGTTACTCATGCCACAGGCAGGGGCGGACTGACAACTCATGGGGCTCCCGGGCAATAGGGGATCATGGGGCCCCTGTGTCCTTGCCCAAACTCAAAAAAGCCTATGAAAAAAGTACCAGGGGCATCTCATGGAGCCCCCTACTGATTCTGGGCCCTCGGGCAGTGCCCAAGTTTCCAAATGGTCAGTCCGCCCCTGGCCACAGGTATTTATGGTGCAGTATTTCAGTCTTGGACACTGTGAAGGCCAGTTGCTGACATCCTAACAACCTTTTATCTAATTGGAGGATAAGGAGGATGTCAGACATCTGCATCCTTGTTTGCCCCTTTCATCAGCACTGGGGTCACTTTAGCTGAGTGAGGGAGAAGAGGAACGCTAGAATTCTAGTCAGTACCAGTGTGCACAGGTAAGAATAAATCCCCTCTAATGTTGGGTGTCCTACATGTGTGGATGTTGCTGAGTAATGTAAATCTATTTGTTTAGTTTACTTTTAAGAATGGAGTGCCTTGAGATTGTGCAGAATTTTAAAGAGTGGTTTGGCTGAAAAAGGTTTGAGAAAAACTGTATTAGCATAATGATATATCAACAGTCTTACTGGGAAGATTTGATAAAGAGCAACAGAAGGGAGAAAATACCTTTCTAGGTAAAAAAAATCCAGGCTTCTCCGGTACTAATTAGATATCAAGAAGCCTAGGTATTTAGCCATGTAATTTCCGTAGAAGCAGAGAAAATAGTTTCAAGTTTCCAAGCTTTTTATGAAATTAGCCAATGGGTGCACAGTTAAAGTATGGGAAACGTTGCCTCATTGGTTAGAAACTGGACCCAGTTAACGGGCCTAGGTGACATTTAGAGGGAAAGGTTTTAATATATTAAATATTCAATAATCTTGTAATATATTACATGCCTTGGATAGTTTTTTCCATCTAAAAAAGCCACAGTGATCTTACACCAATATGCTAATAAAATAGCACACAGCTGCAGCACTATTTGGATGGAATCCACATTTAAAAATAATGTATACACATTGACTGTTCAATTTTAATAATAAGAAGTATTATCCTTAGCCTCTACATGACCTTAAAGTAAGTTATATCTTCATCATGAGAACATCTGATCAAAGGCCATTGCATTCTCATAGATGTTGCAGAAATTACTTTTTCTAAAACACATTTGTATTCTGATCGGAAAGTCTAAAGAAGAGTTTTCTGATCCTTGTTAGTTCAGGAGCCTTACCCAAATTGAGAAATTGTAGAAGAGCATATAAAGTATAAAAAACCCTAAAAAAACCTTTTCACATTGCATTGATTCAGTAGGTAAACATCTGAGGAAAAAATATACAGTGCATTGGGACAGATAGTTGCTTAACATTTGATGAGAGATTGTTCAGCTACAAACATAGCTGTGCACTGCATGTGGCTCACACAACACTGATCAAGGACCACTGGTCTAAAGCAGGGTTTCTCAACCAGGGTTCTGTGGAACCCCAGGGTTCCTCTAGAGGTTGCTAGGGGTTCCTTGAGCAATGAGAAATTCCTGCCTTTCAGATAAGTTCCCACTGACACCATTGATATTTTTAGCTATCTGCAAAGTGGTAATTCTTCCCAATGACCACAAGAGTAAAGAGCATTCTTCCCACTGACCACCACACTAATGTATCATGAGTTGTAGACATAGTAATTTTAGCAGGGGTTCCCTGAGACCAGAAAGTTATTTGAAGGGTTCCGCTGTGTTGACAAGGTTGAAAAAAGACTGGTCTAAATCATGCATCCCAATTTTGTGAGATAAGAAAGTGGGAGATTCTTAAAAGAGAATAATAGCCAAAGCTTTTTTTAGCCATACAGCTCTTTTTGGTTACAGGAGTACACTTACTTAGTGACCTAGAGTTAGCTGATTGTGGACTGATGCCTGGGGCAGAGCTGAGCCAGTCTCATTTTTGGGATCCACCCAGCTGCCAGTCCCTTCCTCTCTCTTCCCGGCCTGGTGCTCCAGTGAACACTGGAAAAGTAGAGCAGAGAGCCATAACTGACAGTCACTGCTCTCCCTTACAGCAGACTGAGAACTGAGCGATCAGCAGTCATGTGATCACTCAGTTCTCAGTCTTAGAACCAGTGTAGGACAGGTTCATCTCAACACTGATGCTGCAGCACGGAGATAAGTATGAAGCATTGTTTTTATACTTATCCCATACTTCTCCTTTAAGCACATAGTATTTAGGAAAAGGACAAATTCCTGTCAAGCCACAAATTATGTGTACTTTGAAGAAAATGATTAATTAAACTTCCAAGTGTTTTTGAATATTTATTTTCCTTTTTACTGGCCTTTGAATATAAGAAATGCAATCATCACAACATCATTTGAAATTATATAGAAAAGTTCTGATGGTACTATATCATTTTATATGACTTATGATTACAATAATGAATGTGTGCCATGATTTAAAGTCTTAAAATTTTCAAAATATGAATTCAAAATATATGATTGTGACCTTTTTATTTATTTGTTCTTTTCATTTTATTCTAATGATTTTATATTTTCATACCAAATTGTAGCCCTGATAAAGGGTGCAAAGTGTGGTCCCCTAAACGGATATTATGTTCACTACAAGTTTGCAATAAAACCTCTTTCTGGATTTCAATATTTTGGTGTGGCTCTCTTCTGAAATGAATAGTACATTTACATCCAGGTTTCTGTGGGAGTATCTTAGTGTACAGCAGTAGTCCACATACCACCCAAATTTCCCATTGGGACATTATCAGTAAAGTTTTGATAAAAAAAACAATTGCATGTACCAAGTAACTTAATGTTCCAGCATTAATGTTCACTACTTAAAACTAATTTAGGACAGAGACAGCGTGGGGATACAAATCTCAGAATTTGGAAGCTGGGCAAAGAGATAGAGGAGTAAAAGCTCAGCATGTAGAAATAGCAGTCTCACGTGGGGTAAAGTAAGGAGGATCTTTGTCCAGTGCTAAAGGAAAGATGCATGTAACTTGTGAGAGAAGGCTGTTCTGCACCAGAGCCCTGCACTTATGAGATAGGGTGACACAGGAGAAAGGTGCTTTGATGTATTCAGATCCTGGGGTTCCCAAGTTAGCTGTTCCAGGAGTGGCTGTGGACCTGCTATCTGCAAGAGAAGGATCTGTCATCACTGGCTTGAAAAACAAGCACCTAGAACTCTCACTGGACAACAGTGAGCATCCAGAAGGTGATGGGACCCGTGGGGGGGCTTTGGGCTTTTGGCCACACATTTCATCATTGCCTGTTCTGCTAGACAGTGTTGCCCTTTTAGAATTACAAATAGTTTTAGTCAGGAGCCTGTGACTAAAGGGGCCAGTCAGGTACCCTCACACTTTGATAATTTTGTTATCCTTTGTGAGAATGGTCTAGAGCAGGGGTCTTGAATTAAAATTTATGGAGGTCCGCTCAGCAAAATTTCCTTCCAGCAGAGTCCGAATCTCGTTAAAAATATAATCTCTGTCCCCAGTACATTATGATCTTTAGCCTACCTTTTACACTGTACTCCCCTCTACATCACAGTCCCCTCTTTAAAGAAGTTCCTCAGTGTCCTCAGTTCCCCTCCACATCACTGCCCCCCTTTATATCACAATGCCCCATTAAACATCACAATGCCCCACTTAACACAAGACAGCACCCCTTAACATAACACAGCACCCCTTAACATAACACAGTGCCCCTTAACACAACACAGTGCCCCTAACATAACACAGTGCCCCTTAACACAACACAGTGCCCCTAACACAACATAGCACCCCTTAACACACACACATAACACAGTGCCCCTTAACACAACACGTAGCGCCCCTAACACAACATAGCACCCCTTAACACAACACAGTGCCCCTTAACACAACACAGTTCCCCTAACACAACATAGCATCCCTTAACACAACACAGTGCTCCTTAACACAACGTAGCGCCCCTAACACAACATAGCACCCCTTAACACAACACAGTGCCCCTTAACACAACACAGTGCCCCTAACACAACACACTGCCCCTTAACACAACACAGTGCTCCTTAACACAACGTACAGTGCCCACCCCTTAACACAACACAGTGCCCCTTAACACAACACACACACCCCTTAACACAACACAGTGCTCCTTAACACAACACAGTGCCCCTAACACAACA